GTAAGTTTTCTGAGAATGTGAAATAACCAAGGAACTGAGATGCCCTGGTTATAAACTGATATCATCGTTTTGAAAAATGTTTGGCAGCACCCACAAAAGCTGAATAAATGCACAACATGAAAAAACAATCACATTCCTAGGTTTATACCAGCAGAAGTGTACATACATGCTCATCGAGAGATAGGAATTAAGATATTGAAAGCAGTAATATCTATCTTAACCAGCTAAACAGAAACAGACTCATAGAAACAGAGAACAGATTGTTTCCAGATGGGAGGGGGGTTGGGAGGCTGGGTATAAAAGGAGAAGGGGTTAAGAACAGATTGGTAGTTACAGAATAGTCACTGGGATGTAAAGTACAGCAGAGGGAATACAGTCAATAATGTTACAATAACTATATGGTGTCAGATGGGTACTAGACTTCTCGGCAGGAATCACTTCCTAAATTACATAAACGTCTAACCACTATGCTGTACACCTGAAACTAAAATAGCATTCAATGTCACCTGTAATTTAAAATTTAAAAAAAAGCTTAAACATAAATTGGAAAATTAAATAACTAAACAAATGGGGAATTAGAATAAAAAATATTATGCCTCATAGCCTCAGCTGGAAGCAAAAATAAATAAATAAACAAAAGCCTATGGACCCTGGAATAGATGTATGCATTGTGGTTATTCATCCAGTAAACCACAGAGCAATGAGGATCGGGCCGTCTATGCCTCCATGCATTACTGTGGATAAATCTTACAAACAGTTGATCCAGTGAAAGAAATCAGGCACACACACAGAGATGAAAGCAGACATTCACCTCTCCTTAAAGAACCAAAAGAGGCTGTTAGAAGTCAGGGTGGTCATTGCCCTCGGGGAGAAGTTACTGAAAGGAAGGCCCCAGGGAGCTCAGGTGGGTCTGGAGTCAGGTGGTGGGGTTCTCAGTGTGTGAAAAGCCACCCAGCTGCCCACCTGATATGTATACCTTTTGTCTCTGTTGCTTCAATAGAAGACACACGCTGAGACCTGTTGTTGTCAAACTGCAAAACAAAGACAAAAATCCTAAGAGCATTGCAAGAAAAAAGACACCTTTTTAAACGAGCACCCATAAGATTTGCATTTTATTCCCAGCAGGGATACTCTATTTAAAGTGCTCAAAGAAAGTAGATGTCGACCTAGAATGCGACAACTGGAGAAAACTTCGCAGAAAATTTTGTAAGCTATGTACATGTCTAATCACTATATGGTACACTTAAAACTAGGAACATATTGAATGTCAACTATAATTGAAAAAATAAAAGTGAACTTTAAAAAATTGGCACCGGATGATTTCACTCATATGTGGGCTATGAAACTGAAAGCTACAAATTAACACCAAAGGAAAACAAATGAAAAAAACTCGTCGCCACAAACGACAATATGGCGGTTACCAGAGGAAAGGGGTAGGGGATTGTGAAGCGTAGAGGCGATCAAACAGATGGGAATACAGCAATACAGAGATGATATATTATAGAAATGTGCACGTGCAACCTATGTACTTTTATTAACCAATGTCAGCCTAATAAATTCGATGACAAAAAACATGGGCACATACTCATTCTATATTTGAAGAGATTGCAAAAGTCAGTTTGACAACTACACTTTGTGATCAAGTTTAAGGTGATATGAGTTAGAGGTAGAAGTACCTGCACATAGAGAGGTAGGTGGTAACACTATATTTAGAAAAAGCAAGGGAAACTTGAGCACAGGTGTTTTGGGTGTTGTCTAGAGGAAGCACCCAGAGAAGTACCAGGTGGGGCGGGGTGGGGTACACCACAGACACAGATTCTATTTTCATCGGTGTTCTGTTTTTCCTGTCAGATGTTAATTTCACAGGGGTGTTCTTTGTGTTTTGTTTCTTCGCTTGTGTAATTTTCTCTAATTTAGCCTTTAGCTATTGACCAGCAACGTGAGGGTAAATGTGGAACAACCGGCTTTCAGAAAAAAAATACCTGATTTGTGGCCTCTGCCAATTTCTGTAGTGTGAACACTGACGCCAAGGCTGATTTTTGAGCTACCAAAATGGTATCACTGAAGGTGGAATAGGAAAGAGGTGCCCACATGCAGGTGTCAGGGGCCATCTGAGCTGCCAGGCCCCCGGCACACCGCTGAGTGGAGCCTTAGGGACACAGAAAATTGTATTAATCCAAAGGCCTGGGGCTATAGGGCTGCCTTGCGGAAAAAGAAAGTCTAGAGAGGGAGAGGAGGAAGAGGGAGCAGCAAGGGGGAGGAAAGGAGAGGGAAAGGGAGAGAAAATGAGAGAGTGGGGAGGGATACAGGGATGGAGAAGGCGGGGAGGGAGACGAAGAGGATAGATAAAGACATAGATGTTCAGATAGAAAGTGTTGACAGATAGAGAATAGATGGAGGGATGGATGAATGGATGGATAGACAGACACAGAAAGAAAAACATATAGACAGGTAGAAATGGGTGATACATAGATGATTCTTAAATGATACATAGATATTTTTAGACATAAATGTAAGACAGATAACTGATAGATGAACGACCATGACGATGAAGTTTAATAGAGCGATGTAGATAAATGACTTATAGACACAGACAGATGAGAGAGATACTAATACGTGACAGAACACTAGATAGATGATAAGAGAAGAGAAAGGTGGGGGGGTAGGAGAGAATTTTTTTAAAGATTTTATTTATTTATTTCTAGAGAAAGGTGAAGGGAGGGAGAAAGAGAGGGAGAGAAACAACAATGTGTGGTTGCCTCCCACACACCCCCAACTAGGAACTGGGCCCGCAAGCCAGGCGTGCGCCCTCATTGGGAATTGAACCAGCGACACTTTTGTTCACAGGACGGTGCTCAATCAGCTGAGCCACACTAGCCAGGGCAGGAGAGAGAGAATCTTATTTGGCCAAGGACAAATAGGATTTTACATAAAACCTTTAAGAAATAGTATCATATGTTGCTATTAAATGGAATTCAAGGTACACCCAGTACCTCACTGGCCTCCACAGAGGGAAATCACTGGCTTTACAGGTGGCAGTGAGCCAGAATTCTAGTTGGAACAATCATTTGAATTCTGTGCTGTACATGTTTTTATTTCACAAGAATAACATACTGACATATCTTGCTGGTAAGGGGATACTCTATGCCATGCTAAGACCTTGCAGGGAAGGAAGGAAGAAAGGAAAGGCACAAAAACGTAAGCTTTGACGTGAGCCCGGCACTTGGCAAGAGCAGGCTGTGCCCGCTGGCGGGGCGAGGCTGCGGGCAGAGCTGTGCTCCCGTGGGGTGCTCAGGGGGCGGCGGCGCTGCCTCGTTCAGCCCTGGTCTCCTACAGAGAACTTTGGGGAGCTGGGCGCCTTTCTCAGCCCCAGCCTGGGGACGATCAGAGACCTACACACAGCGGGGAAAAAACCCCTCGTTGTCTGTGGTTGCTGTTCGCGCTGCGGTGTGGGGCCCAGGCCACCACATCCTGTGCACTTGCTGGTTTGGTGTGGCTCCTGCTTGGGGCGCAGCAGAAGCCTTTTCGCACCCCACTTTCATCGCCTGGGTGTCTCAGTGAGTCCAGAGAAGGCAGAGAGTGGAGGGCGGTGGCGGAAGATCCTGTCCTGGAGACACGGCCTCCCGCAGCCCAGGGCTGCAGGTGGGAGCCCGCGGGAGGCTGAGCTCATCCCCTGCCCAAGGCCGGGCCAGGCTGCCAAGGTCCCCAGGAGCCTGGGCTGCAGGCGAAGGTGGATCAGCGGTCACACCTTCTTCCTTCCAGGTTCCATCAAGGCCTGAGGATCTGGACACAGTGGGTGAGTGACCTGAGACCCTAGGTTGCCGTCCGCGCTGGACACCAGGGCTCTCCGGGCAGGAGGGGTGAAGCGCAGGGAGGGGCGCATTTGGGAGACGTGGGGAGGGCTCTGCTCAGAGTCCCCTGGAGACACCGAGAAGCAGAGACCGCTGGGCATTCAGGACCAGGCTCTGCCCTGGAGGCCCCACGACACACACTCCCGTGTGGCTGAGCCGGCTGGGGACACTCAGAAATGGGGGTCACTGAGGTCTGAGCAGCTACTCTGTGTCTGAGGGCAAGACCCTGGGCCGCAGCTTGCGGGCGGGACCAGGATCCAGCTCGAGAACCCAGGTCTGTCCTTGGGGGTGGGGACCCCACCCCAGTCCCAGGAGGGGGACTGACCAGCAGGAGGGCACCTGCTGGAGTATTTTAGGAATAGTCCAAGGATTCTGAGGCAGACTCATCTTTTTTAAAAAATTGAGACATAATCGACATGGAACACTCTAAGTTTAAGGTGTACAATATGTTGATTTGTTGCATTTATATGTAATATAATTGCCATTGGCGCTGCGAGGTGCACAAACACCTTCCCCACCTCTGGTCCTGCCCTTTTTCCCAGCACCCAGCTGGGTGGCCCATGGGCACCCCCCCCCCCCCACAAGGAACAGCTCCCATGGTCTCTCTCTGGGGGGTTTGATCCCTTTACGGTTTTGTCTTTGCTGACAGGACACACTGCCATCCTGTTTCCAGGGCTGCTGTGGGGAAGATGGGAAGGGAAGTTGTGTTAACAGCATATATTTTATGCACTGAATGCCTGCTGGGCTTTATCATGTAGCACAACATTACATACGTGGAGGGAGATCTCAGGCTTCCCATTTTATATATGAAGACATGTTGGTGTAAAGTGGTGTAATGCTTTGCCCAAGAGAGATGGTTCATTTGTGGAACTAGAACTGAAATTTATGCCAGCTGGTTGCACAAATCCATGCTCCGCCTTGTCCTATAAATAAAGTGAGGTCCACCGTCGGGGGGTCATCTGGAGAGGGGCTCTGACTCATCCGAGTGTGGGGGGAGGGAACAGCTCTGAAAGCCAAGGCCCTTCCTGTCTCACAAGTGAGACCGTGGAAAGGACTGGGAAGAGCTCTTCCCCTTTGTACAAAGACGTTGATGTAGCAACACCAAGTCGGGCCCCTGACCCACACTTCCCGTCCACTGTGCCAGCTGCAGGCTCTGTCCTCCACCCTCCGACGCCAGGACAGAGTGAGCTGCAGGGCTGGCCATGGGTTCCCATCCCAACCCTCTCCTGGTCCTCGGTGAGTCTTGAAATGCAGGGACAGCCTCCTGGGACAGCGGGGTGGTAGTTTGGGGAAGGGTCTTCATCCCTTTGGAGTCCTGAGGCCAGCCCAGGAGACTCATGGTCCCACCAGGGGTCGGACCCCTCCCGTCTGACCATGGAAGGCTGAGTCATGGAACCGGGTACCTGGGTATGCGGACAGGTTCAGACCGAGCACTTGTTTGGGAGAGGGGGTTGGGGCTTAGTTGCAAGAAGAAGGGCTGTGCTCACAGGTGCGGCTGAGGAGGGCGCTGGACACTCTCGGGGGTGACCCCCCGAATCAGGGCCCGGACTGCAGCCCCGGAGGAAGCCGGGCTGGGGCGTTTTCTCACGGCGGCTTCTCTTCCAGTGCTCTGCCTGGCCCCGGCCATCCACCTCGGGGACGGTGAGTCCGCCTCTTTTGATTTCGTTTTCCGTCTATGTTGTGATTCCTGGCAAAGCCTTGACTTTCCGCAGAGTCAGTCCTCTGGCGGCGGACGCTCAGCCCGGCCGGGGCCCCTCCCTCTGTCTGGATGGGCCTGTTCTCCCGCTGTCTGACTCCCTGACCTGCGGGGACCCCCCTTCTTCCACTCCCACACACACCGTTGTCCCGCTGCACCCCGAATCCTTCCAGGAGGGCTCCCTGCTCGCTGGGCGGGGCTCGTTCACCCTCGTCTCAGCGCAGTGCCTCTCCCCGCTGACCCCCGGATGAGGTCCGCGGTCCCTCGTCGGCCCGAGTCTCCCACACTCACCCGGGCGGGTGTCACCGTGTGTGGCCGTGGGTGTGCACAGCCCCTTCCTCAGCCTCTGGGCTCCCGCGACCGCTCCAGACGAGAGGGCAGGTCCTTGTGTGTGTGTGTCACGTTTGTGGGGTGTGGACAGATGGAGGGGAACCAGGATGTGGCGGAAAGAATGAGCGAGGGAGCGACCGACTGAGAGGGTGGGGAGCCTCGGCCCGCGCCTGCCTCTGCGGGGACCCTGTGACGGGGGTGCCCTCTCCTCCTCCCGCCTCAGCTGAGGGTCAGACATAGGGTTTTCCGGAGCCTCAATAATAAGGGAGGGAGAATAGGCTGCAAGGAAGGTAGACATGCAGTGGGAACAGAGACGAGTGCTGCTCAGAGGACTCGCCCTGAGTGAGGAATCCCCGGGCACTGGGGTCATGTGACCAGGCCTACTCTGGACCTCCACACCCCCGCACCTCCAGGGGATCTCCCAGGCCCCTGTTGGCTCCTCACAGCCTCACCCAGCTGCCCTTCAGACCCTGCCCAGGTCATTCCCACGTCTCAGATGCCTGCTTCCCTGTCCCCACGAGAACACCCTCATCCTGACCCTCTGCCTCCTTCCCAGCATCGCTGTCCCCTAGAAAGCGGCCGTGGGCAGGGACATGTGCTTGAGGCCACAGCCTGTGCTGACCCCTCCCATGTCACCCTGAGAAAAGCCCAACATGTCACCAAGACCCGGGGTCCCGTGCCAGGGGGATCGGGCTGCAGTGAGGAGGATTCACGGTCTCCAGGAGTGGCCGTGGGGGGGGTGTTTGGGCCAGGACGGTGGGAGGTGCTCCGTGGGGTTGGGGGGATGGTCGCACAGCCCTGCAAGTTTGCTAAAAGCGGGGAAGTGAACGCTGAAAATGGGGGACTGGGAGGCGCGGTGCCTTCCTCCTGAGGGACCCTGAGACCAGCTCTGCTCCCTCCCAGGGGCCCCGCCCGCACCCTCCATCGGGGCCGAGCCGGGGCCTGTGATCCGCCGGGGACAGCCTGTGACCATCGTGTGCCGGGGCCCAGCTGGGGCTGACCTGTTCCGTCTGGTGGAAAAGGAGAATGTACCTGCTTATTGGGATCAGAAAATCTCTTCTCCACATGGCTCACAGGAGACAGAGGCCAGATTCTGCATCCCTGCGGTGAGTGCGGTCACAACCAGGAGTTATTTCTGCCAGTATCGCACAAAACATCCAGCTGGTCTGAGCACAGTGTGTTCCTGGTGCTGGAGGTGACAGGTAAGGATGTCTCCATTCCGCTCTCAGGTTTGCACCCTGTCCCAGCTATGTCCTCTCTCTGCCTTGCTGACCCCATTCCGGCGGCTCCCTGGACCCCCTGCACACATGTCCACCAGCTTTCACACCTGGCTCAGGGTTCCGTAGCCCTGGTCCAAACTGGACACCGTGATAACCTGGACACTGAGTCCCGGTCTCTCAGTGGGCACAGACAGAGCTGTCCTTGCAGGGCTGGGTGGGGAGTGGACTTCCAGAGACCAGGTGGGGACAGACACTCTTCAAAGGGACATGTGTCCTTTCACTCAGGATCGTGTTAAAACTTTCTTTCTACTTGGGCAGACTCTGTGGTCCCCCAGGCAATGTGTCCCTTGTATTGTTTTACCTTTTTGGGCAAATCACGTGGCCCAGGGGGCCATGACCAGGGCAGGATGTTGTCTTGAGGGGTTTGGGGGATGAGGTGTCCTTCCCCTGTCTGTTCATCCCCGAGATGTCCTTGATTCAGGGTCAGTCAAGGACATGCGAGCCCCGTCCACATCCTCCCAGGACCACAGAGGAACAGCTCTGTGCTGAGTCATGAGATCAAGGTCATGGAGGTGGGAGGTGAGGGGAGTGATCAGGAGGATGGAGAAGGGGGCTCTCCTGCCTCCTGCCCCCATCTCTCAGGAATGGGGGGTGTCATCTGGGACTGAGAGGGGGACAAAGGGACTCACGGTGGGAGGGGCCAGGCCAGGCGGGCAGCCCCAGGCAGCCCCCCCCCCAGCAGCAGCCCTTCCCCTGCCCTGCTCGCGGGAGCCCCCGGAGTCGACGGCTCCACCACCGTCACTCGCACGAACCCCCCCTCCGATGGTGAGTAGTGACCGCAGCCTGGAGGGGTCTGGGGGGCTCTGTGCTGGGGATCGGTCCCTGGGGCTGAGCCTTCTGCCCTGTGCTAGAGAGTCAGAGCAAGACAAATACCGTATGATCTCACCTATAGGTGGAATCTAATGAACAAAGGAATTTAACAACATAGAAACAGAAGCGTATGACACAGAACAGACCGACAGCTGTTAGAAGAGAGGGGCTTGGAGGCTGGGTGCCAAAGGTGAAAGGATTCCTGAAAAAGTATAGATGTCTATAATCCAATCTATATGCATACATGGACAGACACACATATATACATATATACTTGACACGTACACACAAGTAACTGCGAGGAGACAGCCAGAGGGGAAGCGGGAATGTGGGAGGTGGACGAAGGCAAAGTGGGATGGACGGGAACAGAGAGAGACTTCCCTTTGGGCGACAGGCGCACAATGCAGTGGGCGGGCGATGTTTTATTGACGTGGACCCTTGAAACTTGTATGGTGTTATTAACCCAATTCACCCCAATAAATTCAATATTTAGAAAAGCCACAGCAAGGCCCTGTCACTCACAAGGGCGGCACCAAGGCTCACGACGGGGACAACTTCACGGGCAGGATGGACGAACCGGTGCCCGGCTCCGTGAAAGCATGTCCTGCCCACAAGGGCCACTGAGGCGGGTGCGTGTGTGACCTCTGAGAGCCCCGCTTTTCTAAACCTGCAGAAACAAAGCTCAGGGTTCTTGCCCAAAGACACAAGCTCATGGAGAGGCAGAAGCCGCCCAGGGAGGCCGGAACCAGGCTCCGGGGTTTGTTCACAGCTCTGCACCGCCCCCTTGTGGGCAAGCTCCTGCTACCGTGCAAGACAGAGGGACAGGGGGCCAGGGGGACAGAGGGACTGAGCTCAGTTTCCAAACTGCGACCCCAGGAGAGAAGGGACCTCATGGCGATTGTATCTGAACAACGATGAAGTCACCTAGAGGCAGAGAGGCCGCTCTGGGAGAAGGCTGAGCACAGCGCCGTGCGGGGACGCAGAGGGCATTACCCAGGGCAGGGCGCGGCAGTCCGTCCCGGGCACAGGAACTGCGGGACAGGCTCTTACTAGTGTGGAGCAAATATTTCCTTGTCTCCTGGGCTGCAGCAGACGCCCCCCTGCGGCGGGCTTGCTGCCCACGGGGGATGAGTGGAAAGGGTCCCTGGCCTCCCAGTTCTCACGGGGAGGATTGATTAGAATGAACAAGAGCATGCAAGCAAGTCTGTATGTGCAAATACAGGTCAGTAATTTACAGTGTGAAGCTTCAGATCTATAAGTTTTGTGAGTGCCTACATTTAGATTATACATTAAATGTATACGTGGTTAATATAATAAATACGTTAATATCATCACTAATGAATATAGATATTATACAGTATTTCACGTGTTACTAAAATTAATATAAGTAGATTTCAACATAAATATATACCATGCATGATACAACAACATGTGTAATTGGAATAATGGATATATACAACATGCATATAGGTACTTTTCAATTATATTTTAAAAATATTTATATGACGTGACTTACACATATAGAAGAGAAATCACACAATTTTTAATATATTTATTCTAATTATATTCTAATCATGAAATGTAGTATACATCTATAACTACCCTATGCAGATTACATGTATTGCACATACACTGCACATGCATATCGTTCTAAATGGAGGTAAATGTCAGACGGGGAGCACGAGCAGCGACGTGTGGAAGAGCCGGCGGGGTCCTGGACCGTGGACGTCCCAGGTGCTGGGGGGAAGGACCCTCTGGGAGGTGACGCTTCCTGCTTTAAGGGACAGCGAGGACTCAGCCTCCGACAGGGGCAGGGGCGCGGTTCCAGAAGAGGCAACAAGGGACGCGATTCCTGTGTAGGGACAAAGCCCTGGACCTTGGCCGGACCTCCAGGAACCGCAGAGGTGGTGCGCATGCGCAAAGGAGGACCAGAGTGACGAACCTGGTGGCCTTACGGCGCATGCGCGAAGCCCAGCCGTTGGCAGGGGCTGCATCCACTGGCCCGCTCACTGCAGGGCTTCAGGCAACACGAGGAGGACATCGAGGACAAGGGGCTTGGCCTCATTCCTCCCAGAAAGGCCGGCCCAACCCATCAGCGCTGTTGTGAGAAACAGGAAACT